TCATCTTATCCCATCCCACCCCACCCTGTCCCATCCCATCCCATCCTATCCCATCCCACCCTGTCCCATCCCACCTCATCTTATCCCATCCCACCCCACCCTGTCCCATCCCATCCCATCCTATCCCATCCCACCCTGTCCCATCCCACCTCATCTTATCCCATCCCACCCCACCCTGTCCCATCCCACTTTGTCCCATCCTGTCCTGTCTCATCCCATCCAACACCATCACGTCCCAGCCCGCCCTGTCCCATCCCATACTACCCACCCCATCTGTCCCACCATGCCCAATCCTCTCTCTTCTGTCCCCCAACCAAGGACTGGAGGATCACCCCCATGCCCTTGTTTCCTGTTCTCTGCATGCCCACACCCCATTAAGGCGGGGGGGAGGGGGCTGTGATCCTGGCCACATGTTACCCAGCACCTTATTTATCTACCAGAATCCAGCATGCAGCCCCATTTTGCACTGAGAGCTCCTCCAGGCAGAGGAGGGAGTCACATGTAGTTCAGCGGCTGGTTGTGTTAAACGTCTGCATCGGTCCATCCTGGAGCAGTGGCACTAACAGCTGCATCTGTGAGTGTTACTCCTTTCCAATTCATGTTCACATCAGGTCATCATTAAGGTCCGAACATGATATTCGTGCTGTGATGAATCACTGACCACATGCAGCCAACTCAGGAAATGAAGCCTCATTTACAGGCATCATTAGCACGCCTCACCCACATGCCGCCTACCTCGTGCTATATTGGTCTGCCTCACCTATGCGCTGCCTGCCTCACTTACCCTCGGCCTGCCTCTCTCACGCACCACCTGCCTCGCATACCCTCGGCCTGCCTCTCTCACGCACCACCTGCCTCGCATACCCTCGGCCTGCCTCTCTCACGCACCACCTGCCTCGCACACCCTCGGCCTGCCTCTCTCACGCACCACCTTTCTCACTTCAGCTTCCCTCGGGATGCACTGTTCTCCTGGCCTATATCAGTACATGTACCAAATAATGGCATGCAGAACTTTACCTCTGGCATCCGCACAGTGTTATCAGGCGTGGTTGGTGTTCTGGAGTGGCTGCAGCATGCAGCTCTCTAAGGGCTGTTACAGAAGGATGGCCTGGTTGATATTAAGTAATTAAATGATAATAATTAAACCGGATGCAAAAATACTGTGGTAAAGACAATCTGCCCATACTATGGTGCAGGAGTCTGTAACACTGAGCTACACCAGCAGAGGGAGGCCACCGGACTGTGGGACCAGATGAACCAGGAGTGCCAGGTCCGTTCCCTCTGGCACAGGAGAAACCTCTCTGCATGCCAACACTTCGTACATTCGCTGCCTTGATCTTCTGCCCGTCAGCTTTAGAAGAACACCCCCTTTTCTGTGGAATAGTGAGATTTTAACAGGGATTGGAACACCAACCGCAGCTTGAGCACAGTGGTGACAGAGAAAGAGTGTGGGCGTAAAATATGGACACCGGGGGAGGAGGAGAAGGTTCCGGAAAAGTGAAGGAAAAGGATTCTCAAAGGAAACAGTGAAGCACAGATGCGCTCTGTTACTGCCATGGACGAGGGCTCGGAAAGACCCAGGTTTTTGGTTACGGTCCACAGCGCATAGCTGTCAGCTGGACCGATGGTGTTGAAGTCCTCTGGATCTTTTATTGGTGTTGATGTACAAACAAGGACGTGGCCCCAAGTTCTGGGACGAGCAGCTGGGAACATTCCAATTTCAGAAATAGTTTATAAAATGCAGGATTTACGTCGATGTGCTTAGCACTTTCTGTCACTTTCTCCCAGTGATCCATCCCTGCGAAAGCAGGAGTCTTGGCTACTTCAGACAGCAATAAATCACTGGTCCTGCCACGACCCTTTGGGCTACTATTCTTAATAACGCCATTTCTCCATCACCTTTGTTTCCGTTCACTTTGCTGGCTGACAGCTGCCGCTTAGAAACGGCTCTCTGTTGGGATTTAGCCCCCCCACCTCAAATCCCTCAGGTGGGGTGGTTCTCACTGCAGGTCCATGTCTTGCCAGCACTGACCGGCTCGGGTCACACTGCGGTCACCCTGCATGGGAGTCTGTGTGGTTCTTGCTGTCCGCTCATCAGCGGGGTGGGGTGGCACACATATCGTTTGGCCCACCTTGTCTGTCTCAGCGGGCCGGTCTCCGGACAGAACCAGGACCTTGTGGTTTCCAGCGCCTGGTCAAAAAACGGCCGTTTCTCCGCCCACTCATCTGCAAGGCCAGTTCCCAGAATAATATGGTGGGGGGGCACGTCGTCACACATCATGGGCATGGCGAAGGGAGGCTTTCTCACGCAGGGAGGAGCGTCTAGAAGGCAGCAGCCTATCAGACACTGAGCAGAGCACGGCGACCCAATCAGAAATCAAGTTGGCTTATGATAAGGATACTAGGGCATTAGTGTCTTTAAGGGGGAACTTCAGAGACTCCATTAGCTTTTCTTCCGTATTTGGCACCCAGGATCAGACGCAGACTTGCACATGTCCCAGTGGCCCTGCAGAGTAGATCTGAGAGGGTCGCCTGCAGTGTGGAGGTCAGAGTGGGGTCTGAGGGCTGCGTGTCGAGGCCGGCTGTAGTCCCGCTCGGTCCCGTGGTCTGCAGGAACACCGACAGGCTAATCACAGGCTCAGGGCAGAGACACACGTTCAGTTGCACATGGCGAAGGGCTGATGATGTCCTTCAACACGGCCCGTGGGGGCAAGGGCAGGTACCCCGTCTGGATGCAGAGTCTGGGGCTGTGGTCCAGCCAGCTGCTCGGGCAGTTCCCAGAATGCCCCTCTGAGCTCACAGGACGATCATTGGAATCATGTGAGCTCCGAGAGCGGTCCTGTCCTCCACTGCGGGGTCCCGCCTGCTGTATAACAAAACCCAGTGCCTTTTATGGTTAAACAAGGCTGATTAATCAAAGGTGAGGTGCACCAGAGCAGACCTGATGTGAGAGCTATGATGTCATTTCTCGTGTTTGTTTGTTTCTCCCAGGCAGTGAGAAAAGATCAAGGGACCAGACTTTTACAAAAGCTACCAAGGCTTCTCTTCAGTGTACTGTTACTGCAATTTACAACATTTAAGATATAAAAGATTTCTTTGGTGTTCATTTTAAGGGCTAGATAAGAAGTTTCTCAAAAAAATAAAAATTCATGAAGCTAGTGGAGCCTAAAGCAGGCTAACCCCCCCCCCCAGGCCGCCCTAGCTGACATTCATGCGCAAACAGGCACGCACTCACGCACACACATCTGCGCAGAGCTGGGTGCCGCTCCCATGTGACTCCCTGCCTTCTTTGCAGACGTGGTGATTGTGAAATGGCTGCCCTCTATTGGTAATTATGGAGCAGCGAAAACTCAGCCTTTGAAACATGCTGCCATATCTCAGACTTTTGGATATGTTATATAGCCCAGGGAGATGGTACAAGCTCATCAGACATTACAAGGGCATGACAAGGGGTTAAGCCTGTTGGTGATTATTTAGTGGTTTGAGGAAGAAAAAGAATAGATGGGTTAAAGATAACCAGGGATGGTAGAGAATCAGACAAGGCCAGAGGTGAGAGGAAGGGGACAGGTGGATCGTGCCCGGAACCCGCGGCGACTCCAGAGCCGAGCCGGCACATGCCCGGAACCGGCGGCGACTCCAGAGCCGAGCCGGCACATGCCCAGAACCTGCGGCGACACCAGAGCCGAGCCGGCACATGCCCAGAACCTGCGGCGACGCTGTTTAATGTTTGGCACAGAAAGTGCTGAGAAGCCCAACCTATTAATATCTGCGTCTGCCATTAGGTTCTGGGGGACACAGTGGGGGGGGGGGGGGGGAGGTGAAGCAAGCAAACTCATATCTGGTTTTCATTCTAATGGGCTCCCTACAAGGTATAGTTTAATACTAAGTAGTTCCATTCATGAATGCGGAAGCATTTCTGGGGCATATTGCCCCCTTGTTTTATAGTTCTAGGCAATGAGTTTGGGGGCAAAGACCAGCTGGGTTTGGGGGTGCTGGGGCGAGGACGTGGTTACTGGGGGTCACAGACATGCTGGATGCACCATGCAGAGCTTGCAGTAAAACTGGCTGTAAAAATTGCAGGGAGGGCTTTCTAATCTCAAGGATGATTAGGAGTTGTGGAGTTTCAGTGGGCAGAGAGGCAGGGGGATGTTAGGCCTGTGCAGAGACACCCCATCAATCCTGCTGACATGCTCTATTGCCCAGCAGCACTGCACGCTTTTTAGAGCAGATCCCTCGACGTATATCGTGCTCCGAGGCAGAGGACGCCCCGGGTCATTCCACTGTGCCACTGAAGCGAGATCCTCAGCTCTCCTTTTTCCAACCAGGGAGGTGCCAGAATAAGTCAAACGTAACCAGGCAAGATGCTGGCCTCCGGGGATAATGATCTGGCTGCTGTGTCAGGCTCTGAAGCCTGCCCCCCCCCTTCCCCCCCAGCTGGCCCGGGGGGCGGCCCATTCTGTGCCGGTGTCCCTGCGTCCCCAGGAAATGACATGGCGGCTCTCTGCTGAGAATGGCTCAGTAATTGGACTTTTTCCTTGCAGGTCCTCCAGGAAAACGTGGCAGGATGGGAAGACGAGGCGATCCCGGTGAGTCCCTCCTTCCGCCTTAAATCTCTCCTGTTGGTCTCCAGCGCTGCTGCTTTCCGCTCCATGAGGCAGGATGTGCAGGATGAGCAGCCGGCCGCTTGCTAAGCGATCCTGCAGGCGGCCTGTGCACTAGTATCTGCTCTGAGCGTGACGGTACCTGAACGTGAACCATGGAGATGGGGAGAGGAGAGAGAGAGAGAGAGAGGGAGAGAGGTGAGGGAAAGACAGACAGAAAAGGGGAGAGATGGACAGTGAGACAGAGGGAGAGAGAGAGGGATAGAGCGGGGCAAGGGAGAGAGACAGACAGAAAAGGGGAGAGATGTAGAGAGAGATAGAGGGATAGGGAAGGGTGATAGACAGACGGAACGGGAGAGAGATGGACAGTGAGACAGATGGAGAGAGAGAGGGAGACAGACTTGGGGAGGCAAAGAGGGGGCAAGAGCAACACACAGAAAAGTAGGGAAAAGAAGGAGAGATACCGGGATAAAAGGGGGAAAGATGGAGAGAAAGATAGAGAGAGTGGCAAAGAGAATGGGAAAGAAAGGAAAATCGAGGGAAAGAATGAAAAGTGGGAAGGGAGAGAGAGAAGGACAAAGTGAGATGAGGGGAGGAGGAGAGGGAGAGAGGGAGGATACAGAGAGAGAGTGAGAGAGAGAGGGCAGTTTAACATGCCAAAAGAATGTGAGGGGGGCGGGGGGGGGGGGGGGGGGGCGGGGGGGGCGTTACTCTGCATGCTAATTTCTCAGAAATCACATGTCGCTCTTGTTTTGTTTAGCTCTGTTTTTTCCTCTTCGGTCTCATGTGTGTTAGGTACTTATCCATCTGCGGGCACAGTTTATGGGTCATTTGTAAGCCCCTGCTTGTGTTGTGTCTGTACACTGGGCCCTTTTAATAGAGAACGATTCCTGGAATCGGTCTTTTAAAGGGAAAGTAATTGCACTGGTGAGTTAGCGTTGTTTCATTCCGCTTCAGGGCACTTTGACTCAAACACGAGTCACATCCCTTACTCCCATTTTGCCTAATATTTGCCCTTCATGGAACACCTTTTCAGTAATGAAAGTTATTAAGAGGCAGTGTTGTAGTGTCCAGTAGGGGGCGCCTGTGGTGGTCGTGTGCCGGCCCAGTCTTACTCTGGATCCAGTCAGATGCTGGAGCCACCCGGCACGAGTGGGTTGGCATACTGAGGAGGTCCCGCTGTCTTCTGTGTAGGCCCTGCTCTTCAGAGGAGGGCATGCTGGGATAACCAGTGTCTAGACGCCCACAGGCATAATCCACCGTCATGCCACATGCATTGCAGTGTGCAGTGCTTGCACTAGCCACACACTGCCATGTCATTAAGACAGCTCCCCACCAAGCTGCCCCCCCCCCCCAAGTGCCACACACGAGCCCCGCAGCTCCAAAATCCTCCTCCATTCAAACAAAAAAAAAATCCTGTTTAAATAAACGCCACTTACAGCAGCGGAGCAGAAAGCAGAGGCGCGCTGATGGGAACCTTGGACCTGGTTCAGGGTGATAAATCATGAGCTTATCCTCGTGAAGCCGGCTAACGCGCCCTCTCGTAAGCAGATGGCCGCCGTCCAGCCTAACTCGAGAGCGAACGCGACCGTTACATCTTTAAATCACCCACTCCTGTTTGGCTTCCACGCCAGTCTCAAAGCCAGCGTGTTTGCCAGATTGGCATCCGCTGCCAGTCAGCCCACTGGAGGTCTGTATTCACCACGCCCACGTCCGGCACAGTGGGCCAGCGCCAGCCCCTGCCCCACCCTATTTACAGATTCATTGGGAATCCACCGGGCTCTTGTCTCCCAGCCCCCGACCAGCATGGACAGTCGTTGTCCTAAACAGGTGGTGCCCAGCCCCTGCTGAGCTCTGCAGCAAGTTCCTGTTGCTCGGAGGAGAGCCCCGTGCCAAAAGCGTGACAGACGCACACCGCTGCTCAGTGGGGGCTGTCATCCCACACTAAATAAGTGGCCTTGTCCTTTATTTATGACTCTTGCGATCGTTAAACGAGCCGGGGACCGTGTCCTGAGTCCGCCGAGTCCAGGCCGTAAAACTGCTCCTTTCATCCCGTTCCTCAGACGCGGATGGAAAAGCCCCCCCCCCCAGTGGCCTGAGCCGGCGTCCGTCTCCACGGCAGCAAGGAAACCCATAGATGATAATACAGCTGAACGCTTTCATTTTCCTGCAGGCATCAGCCGCGCATAATCGTCCGTAAACTATCAATGCAGAGCCATGATAAAACAAACCTGTCTGCCCTTTTCCTGGCCGGCACGTTAGACCTGGAGGTGGGTTAAAATGGTCTGTAAGCAAAGATGAGTTAGGATAACTCAACAGCTGCTCAGAGAAAAAGTAAATGAGTTGAACTTTGTTTTGTTTCCGAAAGCAGGGGACCAGACCATTGGCTCTGTCTGGTTTCAATAAAGCCCAATATGTTCGGTTTAGACCTTTGATTTGGTTCAATGTCGTTGTTACTGCCTGCCTTGTTTGTGAGCTTCGGCCTGGTGTGAGCTAAAGGACACTGTCCTGAATTGCCAGCAAGAGCCTTTCTTGGGACCTACAGAGCTATGAGTCCTGCAAGCAGACAACCTACAGTCTGGAACTTTCCCGGGGCGAAAAGCGAGCCCATTTCCCTAGACACAATGTCTGTGGTGCATCAGAATCTTAACGGTTGCCCCACACTTCAATCCAGTGCGAATTAAACTGTTTTGTTGTATTGTCTTGCCCCAAAACACAAGTGTTTGTCACGTTCCCCGTAAATTCCACTTGATTCCAAAGCCAGTGATTAACACCAGCCTTTTTGTCGTGAAACTGTTGAGAACTTGTGCTGACAATAATTTTCTGCGATTAAAACAAATGTTTCAGCAAGCATTTCTTTGAATATAATCAAAATCACCCATGTGGACTTGCTGCAAAGACTGTTTTGCAACTTTTATGCGGCAAATGGCATTAAAAGTAATAAGGCAATTTAATGCAATGTGTCTTCAGAGTAATTCCACACAAAAAACATGCCAATGTTTTAAGCTGTAGTAATATGTCAATGAAAGCACCTTAAACTGATCTGTGTTTGCTTTCCTTTTTGTATGTGTTTCAGGTCCTCCGGTAAGTACATCCATCATCGCTGCCTTTTGTGATTCTATTGTGGGGGGGGGCTCTGTCAATCTGATGTGGTTTAATGTGGATTGTTCTCGGATGCCTCTATAGTCAGGTAAGACTGTGGGAACCCAATAATGTGTGTGCATGCATGCTTATTTTTGTGTGCATGAATGGTTTCAGATGTAGAATAACATACCAATAGGCTGAAAATATAGGTACTAGTCACTGTGCAGTCATTTCACATTTACTAAGCCAATTATTTAGTTTTACTAGAAAATGCCTTCAGAGGGGAATGGGGGAGAGCTTGTGGGAAAATCCCCAGAGGCCTGACGCCAAAGCTCTGCCATCTCTGCTCGTGCCTAATGCTTCACCTGTGGCATGCGGCACTGGGCAGCAATGCGGTCATTATAGCCCACCGACCGCGCCGGGTAACTTGACCCGAGGGCGGAGCCTGACTGCGCCCGGCACCTGCTGGGGGGGCCAGGGGAGGGGCACCGCTGCTGCCACCGGTCCTAACATTGCCTTGCTGTGCTCCTTTCTCCATCCCCAACAGGGCGTGCCTGGACGAGACGGTTACCCGGTAAATGTCGCCCTGAACTTCTCCTCTTTTTTTCCAGTCTTTCCCTCTCCTGCAGGGGGGGGGGGGGGGGCACCGCTTCCTCCCAGTGCTCATTCTGAGTGCTGTCTGCTCGCTACCTATAGCCCTTTACGGTGTTTATGTTGGCCTTCCCTGTCAAATCAGCCTGTTCCTTCTTTCTGTCACCTGTGGTTTTATCTGTCACACATGCGCACACCCACGCACACACACACACACACACACACACACACACCCCCTGCATTGGTGTATATAAATAGGAACGGCCTTGCGTGTTATCTTCACTCTGATGGTACAGATCACCAGCGGGGCAGCAGGTGGACACCCAAGCCCAGGCCGCCCTGTAAATATTTCAGGTTGTTGTTGAGGGCCTGGGAGCAGCTCTGCATGCTGAAGGAGCCCCTCCCCCTCCCCACAGACTCACGGCTGCCCTCTCATTGCATTTCTTCTTGACTGTTAACCCTGTTTTGTCTGATTTCCTGTATCTCTACTGATAAAAATTTATTGCTCACTTCTTTGCCTCTTCATTTGGCAGGAAGAATTGTAAAAAAAAAATCTAATGTGTTTTTCATGCAGTTTTCTTTCAATAATTAATGTTACATTTTGATAATGTTTAATACATATCATATTATCATAACAATGTTTATTTATGCGAAATGTGTGCCATTGCTAGCAATTACTCCAGCCAAAATTTACCATGAATATCAGCGGTCCTGACGATCAGTCTTTGAGCAGCCAATTGGCGCCCTCTGGTGGCTGTAGATAAGCGCTCCACGTGCTTTCTTCGTGGGATAAGCGTCAAGCTGCGGTCTGTTTCCCTGTTTTCCACAGTGTGTGGTCTGTGGTCACTTTAGCAATGAAAGTTACAGCTATCGTAACCAGCTTCCCAGAAATTAACTCTTCGCTACACGTTTTGACACGTTTCTTTCTATCATTACTATCATTAAAGCCTTGCTTTCTGTTCCCAGCGCGAGGCATAGGCGCAGGACGAGCTCTCGCGCCGCAACCGCACCTGCCTCGCGCACTTTCCACGCCGCAAACACGTATCGGAGACTTACGCGTGGGCTGATTTCAGATGCCAATTATGTAGCATGACTAACAGAGCTAAAAAGCCGTACATTTGTCGAGTGCAGTATTGGATGCGTACCAGCTGTTATTCAAAGCTGCAGCTCTAGGCTTTCCTGAGAGGGAAGGTCTTTACAGACTGATTTCATATCAGTCCTACTATGAACATATTGGATATATCACTCCCGTTTTCATTTCACCGTACACTGGATATATCACTCTCACATTCACTTTTACCGTACACCGGATATATCACTCTCACATTTATTTTGCCACACACTGAGCATATACTTATTTTAGTACCCACCGGATGTGATGTATCACTCCGATGTAAATTTTATTGCACACTGGATGTAACAATTATGCCTACATCTATTTAAAGCTTAGGCAATGATGCAATGTTTTTTTTTTAACATAGCAAAATGCTATAGTTATTGCAATGCTATACATGTTATTATATTATTACAGTACTGGATAGATTTGATTTGGTAATTTTACTGTCCACTTATTGAAAATGATTGTCAGCCACTTGGTTTCCCAAGGGATCGTGTAGAAAATGGCTATTTGTGCAACTCACTATTTAAGGTTATGGATATGTCTGATATTATTATCACAGAGCTCTGCTGTGATCCTAACACTGGGATATATACAAAGTGATGTCAAATGGCGTTAGCCGGCCTTCCAGTCTTTGTGACCGAAAAAGCCTGCTGTTAATCGCTGCCACGTGTGATTCTGCGTAATTCTGTGTATGTGTTCGAGAGAGAGTGGCTGATGGCGACACATTTCCTCACTGCTTTGTAGTTGCTCTTTAGCCAGTTTATTATGCACACCTGCTTACTAATGCAAACGGCGTGCCACTCCGTCAGACACCCGTGCGGCTGCAGCTGAATACATGCGGCACACAGAGAGGGTAAGAGGCTCGCTTACTGTCCAAATAAGCATTAGAGCAGCTTAGATGTCTGATCTAAGTGATTTTGAGTATGGTGTGATTGTCAGTGTCAGACACGGTGGATTCAGGATCACAGCAGCAGCTGCCCTCTGGGAATTTCACACACTGCAGTGTGTAGCGTTTACAGAGCATGGAGTGATGGCCAGAAACATTCAATCACTGCCATTTTTGTGGCTAAAGCTAACAGGACGGCTAGTCGTGCAAACAGTGCAATACTACAGTGGTGTGCAAAAAGGCCTCTCTGAATGGAGAAGCGGTTCTGAATGGAGAAGCAATAGCTAGGCGTAACTAATGAAGCAGCCGCTGAATGTTTATCTCCGTGGAAGTTAAATATCTAAGCACTTTTGAAGGTTTGAAGCTAGCACCGTGTGTAATGGGTTAATCAGAAGGTGTCTTATTAGATTCAGCCAACTTGCAAGTTCTGTCTGAAAGAACAATGTGGAAGCTGCTCCAGTCCCCGCTCTGGTGACCACTGCTTTTGTGTGGGCATGTTTCAGGTGGCTGCGACAGAATATCTAGATGGTGTCAAAAATTCCCCACATCTTACAAACCCAGCTAAACATTTTCTTTCCAATAGTTGGCTCAGATCCTCTGCCCCGGTCTAACTACAGTCCCAGATGCACAGACCATACTTAGAGCCCGTCCATCTATCTGCATCTTCCATGTCGCTTCCAAAGATGTCGTGGGTTTTTCCGATCATTCTAAAAACCCCGCAAGGCTCTGTTGTTGAGGGATCCATTTTTACTGAAGACTCCAGATGCGTTTTCTGGGAACCATTATTTTATGCTCAAAACTAAGAGAAATACCAGTTAAACCAAGTCGTGAGCCATTCCAGAATCAGCCATTAGCAATGAATAAAGTAATTAGCGGGTATTAGTATTGGGAGCCGCAAATCCCATAACAATTGAACAATCTGGATCAGTTTACAGGTCTGGCTCCATTAGGACATGACAAATTGCTTCTGGTGTGGTGATTGTAGAATAGGGGGCGGGTTCCAAGTTCCGGAACCATTTTTCAATGTTAAAGCAGCTTGCTGTCACACACCCCCATTGCAGCAGTCGTTCCCCCTATCCTGACGTCTAAAAATGCATCACTGTCACCGATGCTTCTCTCATCACTCAGTCAGCCGAACGGAGGAAGAAGGCAGCGTGGAAGGTGTGAACCACCCTCATTTCATCTGCCACGCTCGGGGTTCAGCTTCTATCCTGTCCCAGGCACAGATTTGGGTGACTGGCCTGCGAAGGCCCACAAAAGGCAAAACATCATTGCTGATGAAAACTAATCAATGAACTACTCAGAGAAAGAAGCTTTAATATTCTAAAGGCACGTCTGACAGAATGATTGCTGAACAAGTCATTAGTACAAAATAGCAAACTGTAAATGTGTCTCTGACATTTACGGATATATAAATTACACATCCATCATCCAACTGCTTATCTTAAAAAGTCATTAGAAACCAATGTCTTTGGACTGAGGCAGAAACCCAACACAACTTGGGGAGAACATGAATACTCAGCTAGACAGCAGGAGTGGGATTTGAACCTCTGAATGCTGAAGGTGTGAGTGTCACAAACTGAGACACACCAATGACACAGACACTGCCATACGGACGAGCTTCCAGCATTGAGTGTGAAGGAGAAACTAACCCCTGCTGAAGGCCAAATTTGTAACGTTGCACGTAAACCCAGACCTGACCTGGTCGACGTGGAGGCCGAGGGCCAAGAGCGCGAGATCCTCAGGTGTTAGACAGGCGGCTCCCGTGTTTGCATCCATTAGGACTTTATATCCACTATTGCGCAGCTTGATAAATATGTAATTAATGCCACAGTGTTTACGCTTTACTTACCCGCGTCGCTCGCGAGAGTCATTAATCACCCTCAGCAGGCCGGATTTTTGTCCAAGCGCATTCTCACTTTTAAACAATCGAAATGCAACCTTTAACAGAACCCCCAAGATGAATAAACAGACAGAATGCACGCAGTCCCATTTCCAAGTGGCTGAAGTAACACAGGGCTCATAATGGGTGCAGGCTGTGGCGGTGCCCCCCCCCCACCCCCGTCGTGGCAACCCACCTAGGGGCCTCAGGCCGGGTGTCCGACTCACAGACCAGGAACAGCTCTCAATCCCCACGGGTCCCTGTTTGTGGTCACATCTAAAGGCCCTGTGGTCAAATCTGCCATGGGGAGTGGACCAGTGCAAAGTGGGCGGGGTTATAAGCTACCAGTGGGTACTAATGGCGCGCCTGTTGGAATCAGCAGAGTTGTGACCACCAGACCTGGCATCTTGAGGGGAGCATGTATGCTGGTATTGATCACGGGCCTAAAGGTGATTCTCTTTGTTCTTCTTCTGTTGAGCTGAACATCTGTGGCTCAGGTGTCTTCAGCCTTGGGATCACTCTGGGGCCTGTCCATGGACCGGATCTTTGGCCGCATTTATGGGAAGCTTTAAAATGAGCAGTGAGACCCTGGGGACCTGCCATCTCCAAAAGGTGGGGAAGCACTGCTTGTCTACTTCAGAGACACGAGGCTCACTGAACGGTACCAGCACATCAGAGTCAAATAAATAATGACAAAGAAAAGTATTCAACTATCGAAATGAACTGCCCTCATTGAGAAGAAGATCCAGTTGGAAAGAGAAGAATTTCTTTAAAGGACAAGAATAAAGAATAGCAAGAGGTTTAAGCCCAGATTGACATCGTTGGGATTGTGAATTAATGAAACATCTAGGAGGCCGGCCTTTAGAGAAGGGCTTTTAACAGACCTTTGGTACGGGCAGGCCAATGTAAGCTGACAGATCAAAAAAAGACAAGCTTGACATGACAATGATTTTGACCGTTTGTGGGCAAGACGCTGGAATGCTTTGTACTGCCTCTCTGAGTAGATCGTACCTAGCATCAAAAAAAGGCCTCTCAGGGAGACGGCGACATATATGACAGATGATTTCCTTGTATTACCCACTCAGACAGACCCCGTGAAACAACTGTTCGAGTGAGTGAAAGCAGATTAAAATAAAGTCTGTGAAAGTTGAAGGATCCTGTGGCCATTGAATCCAGATGTGGTTTCATCGTTTCCCATCTCCCCTTTGGAGTCAACCAGGAAGATGGTCGGAGAGGGTTGGAGATGGTTGGAGACTAGGGATCGGTGGAGGATACATGGATGTCTGTGGAGATCCGTTCTCTTCCTCTTGTCTCTGACAGATGTTCCCAGGGCCGTCATCAATTCTAAGGACCAAGATGCTCGAGCAATTTATGGGTCAGTCACGCAATGGCAAAACTAATTTAGGCCCTTGAAGATAAATGGACATTGGTAACACATAGGCGAACCAGTGTTCTCAGTGTGTGTTTAATGCACTCTGTTAACAGACGTTTGTATTTAAAAGTGCACACTTCTTAAATGTCGTTTTAGCAGATTAGACCTTAGCAGTAATGGACTGCATTTCGTTTATCGGCTCTCCCTGATTTTATCCCTGCTGGTCTTGTGCTCTGAAGTGGCATGAGATTAGCAGTATTTGTTCAGGTGGGGCTGTACTCCAGTCTGGATTTTGTCGGGGCTCTTTTGCTTAGTAGTATGGGGGGGGGGTGTCATCCACACCCTTGAAATAGCCCCTTTCCCCTCAAGAAAGGCAGAACTGTGATTAAGATGTGTGAAATTTGGCAAACAAGCTTTGTATCCTTTAGTGGCCATCATTAGCATTGGTTTTGGACAGCACGATTTTAATTAAGGTCAATTAAAGTGATTAAAGGGGATGATTACTATATATCCCCTCCCAGCATAGTCTGCTTTCTGCCGGCGACAGCCGTTTTTATCTTAAATTACAGCCAAATTTCAGCACTTAAAACAAGCAGGATAATAAGACCTCAAAAACGAAATGAACGTCATAAATATCGCATTCGCCTTTGGCGTGACTGAAAATGGGGAACAATTCATTGCCCCGCTGTGAAGTTAATCTCTCTCAGTGTCCCGCGGGGCTGCGTCGCCGGGGTTGGGAGGGGGCAGTGTGCAGCAGCGGAGCGGAGCGGAGCTCAGGATCAGAACCAGAGAAGAAAACATTGCAGAGGGATACGTTTCCCAAAAGCGTAGTCGCTAACAACGTTAGCAACTTACATAGCTGGAGCCATGCAACTGAATGGTCCTACTATGTAGGTCACTAATGGGAGCTTTTGGGAAATGTAGCCCAGAGCAGGAAGGAGGCTTTCTTACGCTCACTGTTACTGGCTTAAGGAATTGGGGCTTGTTTTCTTGGTCATGGTCTTTGACACGGTCTTAAATGAAATCACCCTGGGCCTGCGTGAGGGTGTTTTGTTCAGCTGTTTGATGTTAATGGCTAATCTTCACAAAAACTGTTTACCATTCTAGACTCCTCCTCCCTTTCCAGTTGGTCTATTTTGATGTAGCGCCTTTTATGATGCGGTTTTCCCCAAGCATGTACAGCTGCCCTTGAAACGTAATCATGTCACAGTACAGAGTGACCATCTTCATGCAATTTAAAACAGTTTGGATGATGTGTATGGAGAAGAAGAATCATCCTAAGGTATCAACAGGAGGAGGAGAGAAACCCAAGGATTACCCAAAGCCTCCCAACTGCCATGTTCTCCTCGTAAGCAAGGCTGGCTCAGACAAACTCTGAAGTAGCGATTGTCACACGTAAATTGCCCCATATTACCCCCCTCCCGGCAGGCCTGGATTTATAAGGATCCTGATTTTCTTAGTTGTGCTAGTCAGTTGATCCGCTGGGGCCGGCAACTCCTGAACGGCGGGGAGTAGGCGAGAAGAAGGAGAGATGGACCAGACAAGCTTGTTAGGATCATGGACACACAGATGCAGAGATACTAGACCCTGCTCACGCTGATGAAAGACCCCAGGCCATGACCTTCTGGAGATTCATCAACCTCCCCAGTGGATTCATTGCGGTTCAGGGAGCCTAATCTCTGCCAGATGCTTGAAAATGAACCCCAGGCGATCCTTTGGTTCCTCACGGTAATGGTTTTACCGTAGGGATCATCTTAGACTTTGCCACTGGAGTTTTCAAAATAATCTTTGGAAAAAAGAATCCAGAGATTATGGTGATGGTGTAGTATTTATTTAATGTATTGGATTTTATAGAGCAATGATACAGAGCTTTGTGGTTGAGCTGGATAGGTCCTAAAATAACATAGTAATTTCTTTAGTGGATGTATAGTGGGCGGTAAGGTAAGATGAGAAGGGAAGTGAGTCCCAGACTGACACGGAAACAGGGGAAACAGATCCAGGGGTCACTTCGAAACCTGGTGAGTCCCTGTTGTTAGTCTTGTATTGGGTTTCGCTCTGGAGACGCTGCACGCAGGGAACCAGTGCACACTGGCGGGATCAGGAGAAACTCCGCCCACTGCCAGTGACGGCAGCAGAGGTGTAATGGTGCAAAAACACTTCCGAAGCCCAACCGTGAATCCTCGCGCAGTGTGCTTCTTCACTAAGGTGAGACTGCCCTTTTGCGCAGAGATGGACAAGCTGCAGACATTCTGCTTACTTTTTTCCCACTCTGTTACCAGAGTCTGCTTTAGTGACTCACAGGCAAAACAAACACGCCGGCCCCCAGACGTTTGTGACTGCAGTGTTGTTGTAGATGTAGAGGTTTTTATTTTTCAGAAACCCGTCCCTCTGTAGAATCAGTCAGTGAGTTTCGGATCAGATCTCCCATCATTTTCGCTTCCACCGACATGCAGCGTTTCAACAGAACGGCGCTTCTCCTGGGAGGCCAGGTCCTTGAGAGTTATTTGAACTGTTTCCGAGATCTATGACATGAAGTTGGAAAGCTTAATGAACTGCAACCAGTCAGACAGGCATCTTCATGACATGTCTTCATATGGATGTTATCATTGTGAGGAACAATGTGATTCCCTTCATATGCTATAAAACGTGTACTGTCCAGAGCACTCTGCACTGCGTGGTAAAGCCTAGCAATAAGAGGCAGATCTAGCTTCCAGTGTATTGCCTGAATCCGATGCTCAGAATTCTGTTTTTACTCAATTGACGTTTCAGCACCTGTGTCATGATGGACAGCGACTTTCCACATCCCACTCCATTTTGTCTATCAATATGTTCAAGACATTCAACAAAATGAGAGTGGCTTATTTTAGTCTGCATAGACTTTGTGTCACTGTGAACTCAATACCTCGCCTTAATGAACTGAAAATATATGGAGCAATACGATAGGCAATGTGTTTTGTTTCTTTATGATTCAAACATGCGTGTCCCCCATTTGCATCCAATGACTGGGTACTTCAGGACTAGACCGTGGTACAATTTATAGGTTACCTGGGATGAAGGTGACAGTAGTTTCGGTGCATGTTTGGAGCAGTCTGCACGGTCTCAGCGTTCTTTGTGTCCCTGTGTCACGTTTCGGTGCCACATTAGGAGCTTGGCTGCTCCATCCAGTACCAAAACGACGTGGTCTGACCTTCTCAGCATCGTGACCGAGTACATCGTGCGGGCAGCCCCCAGTGTCCCAGGGGGCAGCCTCGTCTACGTCATGCCTCTGCAGCCTCCACGCTCTCTTCAGGATACATAGCTTTACCCATATATCTTAAGACATATATTGTAACAAAATGTTTGTCGATTTAAATGATAGAGTTTATGTATCTGTTTCAAGTTTGCAGTTACACGATGCTACAGGTATGTAGATATAACTGTAAAAGTAGTTTACAGTTTCATTAAAATTAATGAAATACAGGTGGGCTGTGTCTCGAGTTTGACATCAATACCTGGGGTTGGGGGGGAGGAGCTCATAAACCCTTAAAAACCTTGTGCATGGTAATCAGATTCATCTGTTTTGCTAGACTCATGTCATAGCTCTGTTGTCAGGGGGCAATTGTTGATATTGATAGTCAGTGGTATTGCTTTAACAAGTCCCTATGTGAAACAGACCACAGCATCATATACAGCCAGGACAGCTGAAGACCACTCCATACATCTTCTTCACCTCTTTCTTTTCTGTTTCCTGTGACATCATTTCCTATTTTCCACACTTTTCGTAAAATAGCACTATTGCCCCTTCCGTTACCTGACTCTCCTCTCGCATCTGTCACTATTTGATAAACGGCCAGAAGCTTGTCAAGTTATTAAAAACAGAGCAGACCAAAGATGACTCTTCCAGGTTGTATTAAGAAGGAACCCATGCAGATCATTTTTAGAAGATGACTGCAGCCACCCATGGTTCTTGTAGCTGTCAGATAGATTGGGGAAATGAAGTATAGGTTTTAACGTGCATGGTGTGTATCCATCTTACAGGGCCCACTTGGTTTGGATGGCAAACCTGTGAGTACGAATGTCTATGATCTAAAAACAGCAGCACACTGATGATCACGGTGCGAGGGTGTTGTTTACAGCACCATGAAACCACACTGCATTGATACGTGTCCATACACACGCACCAGCTCACACAATCTCGCACGCACACACATACACACACACACACACAGATGTCCTGTCAATGTTTTGCTTGTTCCAAGACCTGTGCACGTTACCATGCGGCTGCACTGATATGCACAGACGCACTCACATATATGCATGCTCATGCTAACTCGTGTAGCCCTGTGTGCATTGCAGCCGTTCTGGGGGGGGGGGGGGTGCTCTCTTGCAGGGACTCATGCCTCACCTGTTAGCCATCAGGGCTGTTTACCTTCTCAGACTGAGAGCAGCAGTGAGGCATGAATCACTCTGCGGTTAGGGCGAGCACCAGACTTCAATGGCAGCGTGTCGTGTCTATGAAAAATACCTGCCATCGTTATCATTCTACTCGTTAATCTGTCTTTTCCCTTCCATTCACAGGGTCCCCCAGGTCTTAAAGGAAGTCAGGTATGTCAGTACATTGCTTTGTTTATTTGTCCATTACACCTGCCAACATTTCCTGTATTTTATTTCAGAATTTCAGCTATACTTCGGTTCACTTAGCCTAGCCACAAGCACGTTTCTGGGTACACTGTAAATGAGAGAGGACAGCAGTTAATTAGAATAGCATTGTTTCTGCATGGCCCAACTCCAGCTGTTAGCCTTTTTCAGAAGAACTCCGTCGTCTCCGACCGTTCGAGCCGCCCTTGGAAACATGACTGCAGGAAAAGCAGCGCTAATGCTAACCCTAACGCTAATGCTAGCTGTTTTCACACCAGGATGTGTGGAGTTTCTAGCTCAAAAGAAGCTTTTTTAAAGCTATTATATTTAGCCTTGTGTTACTGCTGTCATCATAAAAAGCTGGATTGCCCTGAGGGTTAGCCACTAAACAGGCATTTTAAAATACATTTCTACAGAAATTGTTTGTAGTAAAAAGATGAAGTGAAGCTAGGGTAATTCAATGACTCTCCCATATGTACCAGGTGCACAATTACCGTTTCAGCTTGTTCGTGTTCTAGAATAATTTAGTGTGACCCTCCAGCAGCAGCGTGTGACTGAACGCTTCATCACATTGTGCCATTTCTGCTGACATTTAAAAAATGCTCTTTTCAAAGGTAAAAATAGCCGTTTTCGCTCGTTAGCTTTCAACTCACTTTGCGTAAATTAATTTAGTGGACAGCTTTGTCAAAAGTGACTTATGGCTCAGTGCTTGCAGTGTTTTAAACAGCAGAGGGTTTCAATACTGGTACGTAAACGGTGAGGACAATAAATCCTATTCAGTTCGAGGTTCTAAAACATTACAGTGTGACATGGAAGGAGAAATCTGTATGAGCCCTATGACACAGCACGTCGAGAAAGATGAAGTGTCCTGTGCAACACTAAATTACTGAATTTACGTGAACAAAACGTATAAATAATAATCGAATAATAACATGAGAATAAATGTTTTCTATTATGCTTTAAGGGTTACGGTCAGCAGAAGGCTTAGTTTCCCAGGCAGGTGTCCTGAGCCCGACATGGCAATTTAGGCCTGAAGGGGGCGCCAGTACCTAGGAATGGACACGCAGTTGCCCAGCATCCTTATCACTTTACCGGCCTCAGATACGTTACTAGCCCTTTACGGCGCTGTGATATTCACCCCTATGACAGTCTGACTGGAGGAGCGCCATCCTCGCCAGCCACAGATGTAGCGTGGCGCCTTGAGTGGCCGCATGTGCAAAGGCCAAGCCATCATCACATTATTAGCTGCAGTCTAGTGGGTGGCGGTTCTGCCGCCCGTTGGGAGACCTGAGCTGGTTCCTTGTTCCAATTTTGTCAGGAATTAAATTGGAATATGACGCTCCTTCCATCAGATGCACAGATCTTGCGGCTGTGATTGTGGTAGGACAAATTGCTCTCATTCTAACTCCATCACTTCTTCTCTCAAAAGTACATAGTTGCACTTCATTAAACATGAAGCCAGCAGCCTTGCAGCAGAAGCTCAGATATCTCTGTTATTTCCTTCCTCAAAGACCAGAAAACCTCTGACCAGTTCTGACCCTTCTGCTCTGGGTCAGTAACCTCTGATCTGGGAAATCGACTCTGAATCAGCTCCTCCCAGTAACTTCCAGTTCTGTCAGGCCGTCTGATGGAGATGCAACAGTCTGTCGTAACACAACCGAAAAAATGTAAAAAATAAAAAACATAGTGTGAGACTGTGCCTCATTACCTGCCATTTTTTTGTCTTCTCAGGGACTACCTGGCCTAAAAGGAGAAAAGGTATTCAGAAACATCAGAATAAAACTAGTGTTCAATACCTTAAATACACATACCTGGTATATGATATACCTTACACACATGAACATGTAAAACATTTATAAACTCGCAGTTCATTGTCGGCTTAAATTTCACAATTGCCAGATGTTGGTCGATTCTTATATGCTTTCGTTCCTGTCCTCTCTTCTTGGTGTCTGGCTCTGTGTACATTCAAACATGAGTGTAAAATTATAGAGGGCCATACATCTCTCGATTGGCTTTACCCCAGGAAAAACAAAGCATTCATGAGCAAAGCCTTCTTTAAATCAACCCTGCTGATTACAGAATTTGAGAAAGTTGTGTGCTAAGGAGTCCCATTCCCTAATCCGCCTTGTCATGTTTACACAACTTACGAGGACCTCATTCTGGTCTGGTTTCCTCATCTTAATCAGCGTGTTCTATCATAGCACATAAACTTTCTGCGGCATGGCCCTTTTTGGCACTTCCGGAAAGATCTTTGATCTTGTTGCACCATTGTGTCTGCAGTCAGCCAAGCCTACTGTTTAATACATGTCTGTGAATGATCCCTTCTTGATTCAATGTCTCCCCAGGGTGACCAAGGAGACGTCGGACCAAGGGTGAGTCATGGAATTGGTTGAATGTATCCCATGGGATCGATATCCAAATAACCACGGGACCTATGCATCCAGCTCGCTCTGAGCCGGTTGTCTATCGCTTAAAGCACAGATGAGTAATGGTTCTACGGAAATCATGAAAGAGTGGAACCAGAGACAAAGGATACGACACTTTGTACGATATTTAACATCTGATCAGACCATCCATCATTCTCTATACTCAAGCTCCAATACATCAATACACACACTCCGGCATTGGCACAGTACAGACCTTAATTACACGTCTTGTGAAAATGACACCACCCCTGAATGACGCGTTGTCTTTTACCTTGTGGAGGGGGGGGGGGGGGTCACTAAAGGGCCAGGTGTAACCAAGGCGGGCAAATGTTCCTTTCCCACTATTGTCCGAAAGCTTGTGGCGAAAAGAGAAAAATGGAATCTCGCGTCGGTAACACGATACGACGTAGCATTCCGACTCGGAGCCAGACAGACCAAAAATAAGTTCGTTTTGTAAGAGTGGCGCGTTTGCGTCTTTCGCAACACAGGGGAAAGCCTTGATTTGTGTGGCTGTTTTGCTTCCCCAGCTGTAAGGAAAGGTGAAGCTAATTCGGCTCTGTGGGTCTTGCTGGATTCCACAGACAGCCCTCTGAGGGAGGCGGTGAGGCTGCAGAATCTGCTAAGTGGCCTGTGGCCGTTTGATTGATGGCTGAAACGACGGAATGGCAGGCAGGCCGAAAAAGCGGCTTTTCCTGCCATCACTGTGGGCTCCCACAGTAGGGCCTCCTCTCCACTGGGGTCTGTCTCTCCTCAAAACGGATCCCACTCTTTGCTGCCTAAAACCCATTCATCACATCTTACATTTCAGCCCAGAAACTTATGCCTTAAAATACTCATTTATATACTTTTTATCTGAACGATGAAGTACATGTGACAGACATTTTGGTAAAGGAGCTAAAAGATTTACAGGTCAGCTGACACAGTCCAAAAAGGGTGCTTGTCTGTGGTTGGGGTGCGTGTGGGCGTGTTAGGAGTGCGTGCGAACAGATTGAGCCACACCTGAGGAAGGTCCCTCTCTCTGCATATCCCACACCGTGAAGCTCCTGCTCTCCATCCCGTCCTGAGGTTCGAGCTTTTAAAGCTTCCCGTTCAAGGACATGGGCTTCCTGGCTCTGGGGCATGATGTCCTTGCAGAAACGCTTGATGGGACATTATTTGTGGTATGGCTGGAAACAACATGAAGCTTCACATTTTTGGGTTTTTTTAATCTGGCTCTTACCCGCTGGTTTCCCAGGAGGCTCCAGAGCATTTTGAGTAAATGATAGAGTACAAAACAAGTAAGTCTCAGAATTAGATGTTAAGTGGAAAAGTAAATATTGCAGTTGGACGAAGGGCATGCTGTTCTGATGTCACTGTTCATTGCTATCTATGAGTTTCATCAACCAATGCAACAAATGAAGACAGCTGTCTTAAGATTAGGGTGGATCGCTCCAATCTACTTACGAGAGGGACATAGGGACAGTATAGAGCAGGGTTCTTCAATTCCAAATCCAGGCCTTGTTTTCAGTTCTCCCAGGTAGTTAGTTTAATAATTACTGATCCTGATTGGTCAGTGGCTTCACAGGTGAAAGAAGGCTGGAAAATCAGCAGGGCTCGGACCTCGAGGACCGTGATTTGAATAATAAAAGAGCATGTGCAGTTATGGGCAGGGGGATGTAAAATTTCCCTCTTGGAATGGACAGCAGATCACAGTGTCACCAGTCCTGACCTGCATGGTCTGCTCCATCTGGCTGCATCTGGGCTTCAGAACAGATGGCGTTCTTTAAGCCCCGTTATTACCGTGTTTGTCTGCATCCGGTGGTGTCTGGATTTGAGAACAGATGGAGTGACCTGTGGGCAACACTCGACCCCTGACCCCTGGCGGGGACCGAGGGGAAGGCCGTAGGTCGTGCATGACTGCTGCGGTGCGCCATCGCACGTCATCCGTCATCCTCGGTGAGGGTGTCGGGTCAGGACCTGGATCCAAACCTGGCAGGTCCAGAAGAAGGTGAAAAGGCTGCCGAAAAATCACAAGGCACCCGCACCCTCATTTCATGCTGCTCAGCAAAGACCCCCCCCCCCTAACCCCCACTTTCTCATAGACACCCCCAGGACACATCAATTTGCTGTTTGTCTTTAAGTCAGGGCAGAATGAGTGATGCGGGGAGCCATGACTCTAATTGTCCGTGCGCAGTTCTTGTGGTGAACACGTGCGCACTAGGGAGGTGTTTCGGGGTTTGCTGGAGATCTGGCATTTCACAGCTTCGAGATCGACAGGAATATGTTGGGTGCCGTGTGGACAGCACAACTCCTGTCCGCTTTGAGTGACTTCAGGAATCCACACTCCTTAACCTAACAGAGGTGTAGCAATTGGTGCACAGACTTCTGCATGGATGATTTACTTGTTAGGGTTTAGAGTACTGAGATTCTGCGGTTAACAATCATGTGGGGTAGCTCCACCACACCCTGGGGTTTGGTGAGCCTCATTGTACTCACAGCTGTCTTGTGTCACCCTCCCCTCCCCTGCTCAGGGACTGCCTGCCTCAGGTGCGTCAGCGGGACTGCTCAGTAATCAGATTCTCACACTGAAGGTTTGTGGTAACCCCCCACCTCTGAGCTCACAGCCCATCCGTCTGAGCCTGGCCAGCCCTTCCTCCTCATGGGGTCTCCTTATCACCTGTTCACGTTTCTGTGTGCTTTCTCCATCTCTGCTGAGCAACGCGGGGTCCTTCTCTCTGGACGCTCTCACCTCTGCTCCATTAGATCTCGCCAGCCCCAGTTTCCCTGATCTCTTGACTTCTCTTGCTCTGTCTCTCCTCCCTCGAACTCCTCTTCCTCTCAGATGATCTTTCCCCGCTATGACCATGGATTTCTCTCAGATGACCACCATAACTTTAAAAGACTGATACTGAAGGTAGACCCTCTGTATGGTGTGCCTTGCACTCTGCTTCCCCCAGCTCCACCCCTGGCCCCGCCCCCTTGGCCACGCCCCTCACCCTCCTCTCCCTGACCCTCACCCCATCGCCTTTAACCCTCTGACTCCCACGAGCTGCCACTGTCTTGCTCCCTCATCCTTGGCCTCCTGCTTGTCTGATTCACATCTCAAGCTGGTCTGCGTGTTTTTGGAATACATGCCTGTTTCAAACTAAAAGGGGGAACAAGAAACAAGCAAACCCCAGTGCTCCATTTTACAGGGTGTGTTTTTCATTAGAGGTTGAAGAAAAAGCCTTTTGTTGGTACAGTTTTATTTTGAAATTATATGCCTTCCAGAAGTATGCTAATTAGTGTACAGAAATAGCTCTTTTATCCTGCTGGTATAAGTGCTTCATATCACTTTGTAGCAAAGGTTTCTTTTCTCATATTTCCATAACAGCCCACAATGTCTGGGAAGACATTCACAGTCCCATAAAATAATTTCTGCCATGGGTGGGAACTTCAGGGCAATAGACTGATGCAGAAGCTCCGAATGTCTTCTTCATGTCGCTCATGAATAGAAGAAATCTTTCACTTAAGACTGGAGAAGCACTTAGGCCATTTAGGAAAGAGCTGTTCTAACGAAACCACCTTAAACCGTATAGGAACAGGCCTAGTGATGTCAGTCGTATTCATGTCCCTCATCTCTGTCTCCTTTGGGTTTGATGGCAGGGCGATCAAGGACAAGCTGGCCCACCTGGTCCCCCCGGGCCACCCGGGTCCCCTGGACCAAGAGGACCTCCTGGGAACACAGGGAGGGACGGCCCCCGCGGCCCCCCTGGAGAGCAGGTAAGGCTCCCTGTCGCTCTTACCAACCCTGGAGTGGAAACCATTAGCGTTTCCTGTACTGTGTAAGGTTTCAAAGCTCCAGTTCAATGCTCCTCTGTTGGGCCCCCTTCCCAGCCTTCCCAGCAGGAATCCCGATGCTGAGGTCGCGCTCCTGGGCCCCCTTTTGCCACTGTTCAGCTCGGGTTGCGATCCCTAAACCATGCGGCAACCAAGGGAGCAGGTCGGTGTCGACACTCCCGTTTACCGCGGTGCTCTGGAATGGTGTAAAAGCAGCACCGGGGGGGGGGCAAACGTGTCCCGATAGATGCCGATTGGGCTCCATGCCCCTCGAGGCAGAGGTCCTTGGGGTCACAGGCCACGGTCCTGATTGCACTCGGCGAGGACCGAACCGTCATGTGTCAACTTGCTTCGCACAGCGATGCACAGCGGCTCCGGAGATCAAAACAGAAACAGCAGCTGCGATGCCGTCTCATCTGGTTTGTGTAAGAGCCATCCACAGTGCGCTCTGTAATGGATACGGCTTCAGCTCCCATTTAATAACCACTCGGCTCGCTCTCGAAACAATGGGCTCCCGCTGCAGGGCTAATGGGGGGTTCCAAATTAAGTCTCTCACTTCAAAGGTCAATATATTTGCACAGACAACTGTGCATATGTGGTGGGAGCAGGTCCGTATGGTAATTCATATTTTTCCAAGTCCAGGAATTCAATTAATGTCACACTGCTGCCAGAGCAGTGGGATAAAAGAAATGTTGAGGTTGTTCTTGGTGGGATGCTGCTTGTCCCGCAGGAAAAAAACATTTTCCAATCAAAGAGCAGACATGGACTGAGTATTCTTATCCTCTTATTTTGTTGCTCCAAAGTTCCCTTTTAAGATCATTTGTGAGTATTACGTGATCTTTATGTCCAGAGAAGGTGAGAGCGTAAGTGGAAACTGATCCCCCTCATTTCGAGAGCAGATGCTGCTGTACTGGAAGGGAATGCAAGAGCTCTGTGTGTTCCCTTTGATTATAGACTCTACTTTCTTGCACTTTTCATTTTTTCCCAAAATATCTTCATTATCAAGTTAAGAGCCACAGGACACTGGAAGGGGACAGGAATGGAGAATGCAATACAGATGCTCCTCCACATGCGATGGAATTATGTATCATAGAATATGTCAAATATGTAAATGATGAACAAATAACTACTGTCACTGAATAAGTAAATACACTGAATAAATACATTTTATGCATTGCACATTGCATGTGTCTGTGTGTGTTACCCGGACAGGTGAGAGAGGGAAAATCATCATTTACAATATCTGTTACCTGTGTTTTCAGAAGGGAAGGGTAACAGAGAGAGAAATCGTTAAGAATGAACTGCAGATATGGGACTGTGCCCGGGCCTGGGTTGGATTGTATTTTTTAGATATTTTTGGTCAGATTCCTCTCATTATTGCAGAAAAAGGTATTCAAACCACCATGTCCAATCATAACAGCCAGCATTAGTCTCACTGTATTGAGAGAACACTGACACCTAGTGGTTATAGATCAATGCTTCATTCCACAGCATTTTTGGCATCTTCTATAACAATCAGGGTTTCAGTCAATTGATGGGCATCCCACAAAGCGCAGGGCGAGGAAGGGGGGTCCATCCCACCGCACTCACACACATTCGCATTCACAGACTTAGAGCGATCCACCTGACTGCTGGTTCGGAGGGGGAACACGTGGTCTCACGGACCGTTTTGAACAGACGACCATAGACCCTTGAGGTGCTCAGCAGTGTTGTAGGACTGGAGAAGCATAATCACCATGCAAGTCATGTGCAGGTCATCCGTTTAATACTTGTGATGCTAACTCTCTGCTTGTCTCCTCACATTTCACAGGGAGCTGCTGGACAAGAAGGCCTTGAGGTAGATATACATTCGCATTGATTTCCATGACATGCTTTTCTCAAAATCTTTCCCCAGTTGGTTTACCCGGAGGTAAATGCTAAATGTCCTGCAGTCTTGCTCAAGGGCTGGTTACAAGTTCATCACCGAGGGCTTGTTTCTGGAAACCTTTTTGAAGTTTCTAATTCTAATCCAGGTTTCCTCAGCCACATAGATCATAACCCTGACTATGCTTTTCTGTTTTTACAGGGATCGAGCGGTCCTCCTGGAAAACCGGTATGATCACTAATGTGCATGTGCATGCTTATATAAAGATACAGTACCAGTCAAAAGTTTGGACACGCCTACCCATGGAAAGGTTTATTTGTGCTATTATCTACATTTTAGCATAATGATAAAGACATGAGAACTATAAAATAACCATCCATCCATCCATCTTCTACCGCTTTTTTGGGTCGGGTCATGGGGGCAGCAGTCTAAGCAGGGAAACCCAGACTTCCCTCTCCTCGGCCGCTTCGTCCAGCATCTCTGGGGGAATCCCGAAGCATTCCCAGGCCAGCCGAGAGACATAGTCTCTCCAGCTTGTCCTGGGTCTTCCCTGGGGCCTCCTCCCAGTGGGACATGCCCGGAACACCTCACCAGGGAGGCGTCCAGGAGGCATCCTGACCAGATGCCCAAGTCACCTCATCTGGCTCCTCTCACTGCGGAGGAGCAGCGGCTCTACTCTGAGTCCCTCCCGAATGACTAAGCTTCTCACCCTCTCTATAAGGGAAACCCATTTTGGCCGCTTGTATTCACGACCTCATTCTTTCGGTCACTACCCACAGCTCGTGACCATAGGTGAGGGTAGAAACGTAGATCGACTGGTAAATCGAGAGCTTTGCCTTTTGGCTCAGCTCCTTCTTCACCATGACAAACCGATGCAGCGCCCGCATCACTGCTGACGCCGTACCGATCCGCCTGTCGATCTCCCGCTCCATCGTCCCCTCACTCGTGAACAAGACCCTGAGATACTTAAACTCCTCCACTTGGGGAAGGACTCCTTCCCCGACCCGGAGAGAGCACTCCACCCTATTCCGGCTGAGGACCATGGTCTCGGATTTGGAGGTGGTGATTCTCATCCCAGCCGCTTCACACTCGGCTGTGAACTGCTCCAGTGAGAGCTGGAGGTCACGGTCTGATGAGGCCAACAGAACCACATCATCTGCAAAAAGCAGAGACCTAATCCTGAGGTCACCAAACTGGACACCCTCAACGCCCTGGCTGCGTCCAGAAATTCTGTCCATAAAAGTTACGAACAGAATCGGTGACAAATGGCAGCCCTGGCGGAGTCCAACCCTCACCGGAAATGAGTACAATGTGAGATCCACATGCTTTCTTCGGACAGTGCCTGACCAGGCCCCATGGGTGTAGGCCTGACCACCAGGCGCTCGCACCATCCCCAGGCCTGTCTCCAGGAAGGGGTCCCGGTGACCCGTGTCAGGTCGAAGGAAAACGTGAATCTAAGTTGTTAGTCATCATAAGGGGTCTAATGAGCTGCACTTCATCTGGTTACTCACCCAGGACCTGTTTGCCTTGGGTGACCCTACCAGGGGCATAAAGCCCCAGGCAACTTAGCTCCTGGGATCATTGGAACACGCAAACCCCTCCACCACGATAAGGTGTCGGTTCCAGGAGAGGCTATAAAATAACAATTTTAATTCCAAACTTTTGATTGATACTGTATGTTTATAATTTAATGAGTAAATAAGTTCCCAAACCTTGCAGCCACAGTTGGCTGAGCACAGAAACACCTGTACAAACTGTCTCAAGAGGGTCAGCTTTCTGCCAGATGTATCATATGGGTCCCAGTCCTTCCATTACCACATCATAACTGGCAAACGGAGGTGGACATGGGATGTAGTTGGGATGCCAGTAAGTTCCTGAAACAGCAGCAAACTGGTGTGTGTTTTTTCTACAGATTTTTAGTAACCTGAATCACAGAGATTACAAAATGTCTCTCCTAAAATGTAATTAAATCTCCAGGGTCACACTTTACTTGAGGGGACATGAACAATGTATCAGTACATGCTTACTTAATGCATTAATTAACCACTAACTAAATGTTAGTTGCGTACTGATCCCATGCTTGTTCATCATTAATCAGTCATGACAATTCATGTATTCCATTCAGGCGCTACATTAATTAACAGCTAACTAATTAGTTAATAATGATAAGCACTTTACGGGTAAAAATTACTCATTTACTACTCAAAAACAAATCATGAACTAATATAGGTTTCCCCATGAAATAACTGTCATGATTAATTAATGATGAACAAGCATGGGATCAGTACTTAAACACATATTTACTGTTTAATTAATGCACTAAGTAAGGATGCACTACTACATTGTCCCCTCAATCTCCACTTGTATGGTCAAAGCTTACTTTGTTAGAAAACCTATTTGTGACGTTCGTCCTAGGCACTATGCTGGGCTCAGAGGCTGGAGCAGGTCGAGCTGACTTTCTGGCTCGTTTCCTCACTGTCCCAAAGCTCAGAGTGAAGTGATTAACTGCGATTCAACCTCCAGACTGGAATTACAGCTCATTTGGAAACCAACATGACATCCAAGTCTAGATCTTGGTTTTTCTCATTTACACACTGAAGGAATACAAATGCCTTTTTCCTGTGTACAAATAGAAACAGTATGTGAGACCAGAGATGATTGATGCTAATGATGATCAGTATCCACCACAGCAGCGGCAATGCTGTGCATTTTGGTTAATTTTCGAAGGCTTTTTCATGGACAGAGCTGACCTTGCTTGCCTGTATCTTGGTGTCCTTGTGCTGCAGTATCGGTCTGTGTATCTGCAAACCTGCGATGACTGAAAAGTTCGTGGCACCTTCGTGACTCGTGTTTGCTCTTTACAGGGTGAAGATGGCGACCAAGGTCTTCCCGGGCCACAAGGACCCCCAGGATCAAAGGTCACATTCCAGTGTTGATGATAATAACTCTGTTTTGTTGCTTGAGGTCTTCAAGTGCTTCAGCTGTGTAGCTTCCTTCTTGAGAGCTCATAGCCTCCTTGCAGCCGCCCTGTTTTCGTCTCTGCACTGACAGACAGATTGGTCACAGGCCCGCCCTGGTACTCTGTGTTATTCCTTGCTTTGTTGACTTTTCTTTCATGTCTGTCTTTCCATTGTCACTTCTTTTCATGTCAGGGTTTTTCGACCCTTTCCAGCCTGTCGGGGAGCCTTGCACATTTCGGGCTCACGGGACGCACACTGAGTAGATCACAGGCATCCATTGGACACGAGCCAGCATCTCTGAGGGCATGCTCACTGCACTCTGGTGTGGAGATAATGATGTGTTCAGCGGTTTCAGAAAGATTCGGTTGAGGTGTAATGGCTGGCCGTTCGGCCTACACAGGCCCCCCATCTGGCCTGAATTGTCATTAATCCAAAATCTGCAGGACAGACGCTGCCTCGGGGACTGGTCAAAGGAACAGCTGAAGTGTGCATTGAACTGAAGCGAAATGCTCTGCATCATAACATATGGATAGGATGGCGTGAGAACGACGTGGACGATGTCATTGATTAGCATCTCCGTCGCGAGTACCAGTCCTAGTGCAGGGATCATTCTCTTGGAATATACTGAGGGACATGGAAGGACTAGTTCAATTATTCTAGTCTTCAAACATGAAGCTTCCTTTTGAGTCTCTTTCACACCCTTTGGCCTCACTCACTCTGTGCTCGACAGGGAGAAAGAGGGCTACCTGGTGTTCAAGGTGAAAGAGGAGTGGACGGCCTCCCAGGACTAAAGGTGAGAGAGGTGGCCTGCACACCCTGAGAAGGAGGGTCCAGATGGATAATTATGATGAGAGCAGCATTGCATTGTGGGTACCTGACATGTGAGCCATTGATCACTAATAGTTTTCTGGAGTTCATTTGCTGGTTCTCTGTCTAATTCTCAGTAATAAAACAGCATGCTGGTCGTTTGAGTCAGGGGATGCTCGCGGGTGACTCCCACCGTTTGTGTCTATGTATTTTTATAGGGAGATAAAGGGGATGTGGGAGAGGGAGGACTCCAAGGAGATAAGGTGAGTGTCCTTCTGATTGGCACAGCATCATACTCAGTAGCTGGTACATTAGCCAATCAGGGACCTGCGTGGTAATTTGGTAATGTGGCCACCTCCATATACCCAGGAGCTACGGAAATACAGCAGGTTGTATAAAGATGCTATCATAACATATGGTGCAGTGCCATCATTTTTTATATACGCCCCAAGCCAAGCCTTACAGGACCCACAATCTCATACAGGCACAGTAACCGTGGAAACTATTTGCTTTATTTCCTGGATAGAATGATTTAATGGAGACTGTAAAATGTTACAGTCGTATCATTCCTGCCTGCTACATAGGCGTCCTTATTGTTACCATTCACCAATTTAGGAAGTGTACAGCTGGTAAAAACACGGTTTTCATTTGGGAAAAATTATGCCTGTGAGAATTACATAAGGACTTAAAGACAATATCCAGTGGTTTTGAGAGTTTAGTCTGTCTTGAAATCCCAAATTAAGTAGGTCAAGTCAAAGATAGCTAAACCAATGTGCTAAATAGCATGTCTTTTTTTGTGCTTGTTCCTCTGGTTGACCTTGCTGGTAGGGTGAACCTGGTGAGAAAGGTGCTTCGGGGCCTTCCGACATCATCAACTTCAACGGCAAACTTCAGGAAGCCTTGGAGGTGAGCTTCAGCTTTTGATGGGATGGGTCACCCTTGGAGGCTCTCGTGATGTGGGGGCGCCAAGGGCGCAGTGCTGCAGAAAATCACATAGCGGGTCACGAGTTGATCGACTTCACAGGCACGGTCCATGTCTTTCTCGTGGTGTAATGTTTTAATTTCCACGTCTACCCCTCATTTTACCAGTGTGATTGCCCTATAAATTCCTATTCAGGCACAGCAAGCTCATTATTATTTCCTTTGGGAAACAGTCTGTAAAAACCAGTCTCTGATGAATGTGAGACTCTGGGTCTCCAGCCCTGAGAAAACTGACAGCATCATTTCATGTGGAACAAATTTCATACTGTAAAATTGTAAAAATGTTATCATGAGAACTTGAAATCTCTTCAGGAGATTTTTGAAACCTCTTCAGGATTTTGTAAATCCTTCCTACTAGTTCTGTTTGCTTTGGCACTTGATGTTTCACGTATCCTGTCTATTTTCTTGCGCGGGGAATTGGCGCACATCTTTCGGTCGCTGTTGGAGACCCTGCAGCTTTTTATGGGAGATAACAGTAACGCTGCGACTGCGGCACATCGAATGTGATTTGCAACGCGGTGGCCGACAGTCTCCTAGGAGCCCCGCTCAACACGCTCACGTTTTTTCCCTCGACAGGCCATCCACACCATCAGCGTCTCGGTAACTCTGACCATCAGCATGTGTTTCTGGTTATGCCCCGCCCTCCTCTGCCCCCCCTTGTCCCACCCAGTCTCAGCCCATCCTTAGACCCCTGCCCCCACCCACCCCTTTCCCATTTTGTCAGTGCTCGTGTGTGCTGTGCGTGTGACTTGGTCTGCGTTGCTTTGGGCACCAAAGCAATCAAAAATTCAAACCATGTAACAGACCAGCCAAGCCTTGACTATGCATAAAAGGAACACATGGTGCGTGTGATAGACATCAATACTCAGCTGTATTCTTGCTCCAAAAACTGACGTGTGCATTATTTGCTCTATTGCTGCATCTTTTTTATCAGTCTGGAATTCTTCTTGACTGTGAGAATATGTAACATGTGCCTGGATACATAATTCTCGATTTAAGTAAAAAAATTCAGTAACACTTAATACTTAAAGCACTCATGTATAATGCGCTATAGATACCTTCATAATGCATTATAAGGCATTCATAAGGTATTATAGACACAGCTATAAATATTTATAAAACGGCATAACACATTATAGCCATGTTTATTATGCATTATGAATGCTCTATGAAGCTCTGACCTATAATGCATTATAGATACCTTCATAATGCAGTACAAAGCAACCTTAATGCTTATACCGACCATTGAAATGCATTATGAAGGTGCATTATAGATGACAGCTTCATAGAGCATTCATAATGCATCATAAACATAGCTATAATGTGTTGTGCCTTTTTATAAATAGTTATAGCCATGTTTATAATACTTTATGATTGCATTATAATGAATTATGAAGGTATCTATAATGCATTATGATGACTGCCTTAAGTAAAGTGTTACCAAAACTTATCCTACTTTGTAGGCATTTTTCAGTCACAGTGGAAGATGCCACGGTAAATGGTGGCAGACTTGCGTCTGTCTATTGCCGTGAAGCAAAACAATTGGCATTCTGTCCGTGGCAAATGCAGACTGTGGCTCTCCGTCCTCCATGCTAATTAGCAGGTCGCTATCTATTGGTTCAGGTCTTCTGTTATTATCAGGTGTTTGTTACACTGGAAGCCCAGGCCACTGCCTGATGGGGCCTTTGGTACGATGTCTGAGGACCTCCCCATCTCTAAAGAGACCTTTGAAATCCCCCTGAGCTGGGCGCCCACTTATGAGATTTGTGAAAAAATGTGATTAAAATCATGATCAGAAGAGGCTTGTGGAGATTAATCTGGTTTCTGTCAGGTTAGACCATCTATTTGATGTCCCAAAATAACAATTATATTTATCACTGATAAATATTATGCTGTTCGTATACAGCTTATTCATTTATTTTAGTTATGTCTAACAATCTTTGCATGTGTCATTGCCCGAAACATAAGAAACATACGGCTTTTGTGTACTTTTCTTTTGTCATGGAAATTACGACAAAAGCAAATAATTCCAGGAAGAAAAGTGGTCAACAAAGGCCTAAACGTGGGAAGGAGATGAATTCAACATTTCGCTGTTTTTGCCCCTGGGGTGATGGACAACAGAAGGCTTGATGCCAGAGACATTCATCTCACAGGGCAGCGTGTCTCACACGCTAACAGCACTGCATTCTGAAGCACCGGTGTCTGGTCAGGATAGCAGATCTGGAACATGGAAGAAAAACGTAGTGAGAGCAAAGGGTAATACTTTACTTGAGGGAACACAAATACTCTAGTATTATGCTATTGCTTATGTAATAATTAACCACAAATGAAGTGTTACTTACATACTGATCTCATGTTTCGTCATCATTAATAAATTATCACGCATCTTTCACCTAAAGCAAGTGCTATATTTGTTACTATGTTAATTCTGTAAACATTTATGAACTACTGAAGGAACCACTGAAGGAACAGATCAAGAATAACGCGTGTAAAATGCTGATCTGATGTTTGTTCATTGTGACGCATCATGTATCCCAAACAGTTACTATATTTCTTGCTGTATCTGTTAATTCTGTAAATCTTAATGAACTACTAAAGGAACAACTAAGGAACTACTGAAGGAACAAGTAATGAATAACAAGTAAAATACTGATCTCTTGTTTGATCATGATTAATGACTCATGACATCATCTTAAGTAGTAACTATATTTGTTCATGATTTGTACTTCAGTTATAACTGAGTTACTACTAAGTATTTGTGCTCTGTGAAGTGTTACTGAGCAAAGTCATACAAGCCAAGGCGATGAACTAAAGGCTGGGGCAGGAAGTGCTGGGGCGTCTGGGCTCCATTTTCACCGTGGCTGCGTGTCCTCGTTCTGTTTCGAGGACCCTGCACGTTTTACGGTGGTTTTGCTAACCGGCCTGCGGCAGTCAGAGTCTGGGTGCCACACTGATGGCCGCTAGACGTGCAAATGGCATGTGCATCATGATGACCTTGACACTCGCATAACAATCCGCTATTGTGCTGCCCTCCTGCTGTATGCTCCTTCAACTTCTAACAGTGGCCCCAGAACCATCCATCTGGCATTCCTTTGACATTTAGTCTCCATCCAAAGAAATTACAGGCAATTCAATAATAGTAATAGTATTGAAGTGTCGGGTATAAAGATGGAAGCTTAATTTCTATTGACAGCATGTGGGGGGACCTAGCAGTCAGGCCCAGTCGCTTTGCTATACATCATCTGCTCTCCTCAGATCCGTAGCACATTCCTGACATAGAGTGTTGCCCAAAGAGGTTCAGCGTTGCCTTTGAAACCCTTTAAAACTGGGTTTGTGGAGCCATCCTCCACCTCCACCTACTTACTTGTAGAGCAATCACTCCTGTCTTTCTGACTTTCTGCAGGGTCCTCCTGGACCTCCTGGCCCTCCTGGGCCCCCAGGCCCCCCTGGAGAACCAGGTTCAAAGGTAGGGTTGTCTATTCTCATTACTGGGGGTATTTGTTCATCATAAACTATTTATATATCTAAGATATTTCTGGTCCTGTGTTTCTGGGAACAGGGAGAGCTGGGTTTACCTGGGACATCTGGGCTTGATGGTGAAAAGGTATTATTTCAAGTATTTCACCCCACTCCTTCATTTGGCTTGTCTTGAAAAAATCATTTGACTTCAAGCAATTTCCTGCCACAATCTTCAAAAGAAAATCATTGTGAAATTTTGTTGGCCAAGACAATACATCAATCAATATTTTCATGCATTTATGAATATTTATGAATGTTCTTCATCCATCTATGCATCCATCTATCCTTCCATCTATCCTTCCATCTTCCAACCACATATTCTGGTGATGGGAAGTCCTGAGACTCTCAGAGAGAGTAGATAACACAAGTCAGGGGAACACCCTCAATGGGATAACAATTTAACTGCATTTTGTATGTTTTGTGCTTGAAGTTTTTCACTAAATTCAAGTGATCGTTCAAGAGCATTTATGGTCCCATTTCTGAGGTCCTCAACGTCATCCCTTCATCCTTTGATCCCTTATTCTCAGGGTCCCAAGGGTGCAAAAGGCGACCCTGGAGAACCTGGGATGCTGGGTGAAAAAGGAGAGAAAGGCGAGATGGGTCTGTCGGGACCAGCGGTAAGTGTGGCCATCACTTTCCCACTGGGAGACACTTGGAGGTCCTACGAAATCAGTCAGGCAGGGCGGTGAACAGCCACACGACATGAGGGTGGGAGGAAGGGACAGGGAGTTCATCTGGGAGAGGGAGTGGAGACGTATAGAACAGAAGGAGAGAATAGGGAGACACTTTTAAAATAATCACAAAAAGGCATTCGGGTACTGAAGGGCAAAACGGAACAGCGAGCGGCATTTTGTTAAGGGGAAGGGGGTCTGAACATAGGGAAACACAAACTCAGTCCCAGCTTCACACAGACACACCTGCAACCCTTTATCCAAGTCTAACTGGCCTGCTACATAGCAATAGCCATAGACATGTAACCCTCACATTCATGTAAGGAATAAGAAATGGAAGAAATATAAAGTAAAAGACGACAAAATTTACCTACTGTTACTCTACTACTTTGTTTCCAGGCTACATGCAGCTCATAAAGGGGGAAATCTAAACCAGGGCCAAAGCTTAATTATGTGCAGTTTGGGTTCGGCCTGTTGTTTTGCTCAGGACTTTACACTGAATTTATTTTTGGTTGAAAAACTGTCAAATTTGTTGAGTGTCATAGTGTCATATACATACATCGTGGCCCAAACTGTGGAAACGCTTCCAATTTTTAGAGGTTACCGAACTTTATTCCAGTTACTTATTCAATCATCCAATGTGTGATATTTGTAACATTCTTTGTTTATAAACATTACTGCCAACATTCATGCAGTAATTTTTAAAGCGTAATACCAAAAATGCTAAGTGTTTCTGCAATGCTGGCCACTTGTGTATATTACAAATAACCCCAATTAGTGTATTTCTGTTAATTTATCAAAACAATCCAACTTATTATTTTAACACTTCAGGGAGTCGATGGACAAAAGGGAGAGAAAGGAGACAGTCTGTCCCAGGATGACCTGGTAAATGTAACATGCTGCTATCACACATGCAATTGCATCCATGTGAATTCACCTGTCATAGTAACACGCACCAAAGCGTTCGAGTGCTAAATCATTCTAACTGCTCCATGCTGTATAAATGAGAATCAGGGATGCTAAATTTATGATGCATGCCCTGTTGTTTCTGTGGCCCCCACAGGTACAGATGATATCCCTTCCGGGCCCCCCAGGCCCCATTGGCCCTGCTGGTCCTCCTGGTCTCCAGGGATTCAAAGTGAGTGATTCACTTCCCCACACAATTAACCACAGAGCCCGGTTCCTCTGCCCAGAGAGAGATTTACATGCAGGTGGACCTTATATCTGGATTAAAGGGACACGCTGGATTACCTGGTCAGAAAGCTGGTGTTTAAAATATTCTGTGTTTGTGTTTTTATGTGAAGCTGCGAGTTAAAGCATCCAAAAAAAAAACAGTTCAAAGCTTTTATTTATACAGCATGAGTCTAGACGAGCAGTAAAAATAGTCCGGCTTTAAACTGATACTCAGTCCTGTTGTATCGATTTTCCTCACCATCATCACCAAATCTAAGACTACTTATGAGTTTACTTTTCTTGAAATTTCAAGACCTTCCCAGTGCCTGGACCCCTCATTCGGAGTGTGGTATTTCAAAAAGCTAACAAGCCAAGCAAAAAAACGGCAGACTTGGCTACTCTGACCGCACCGGCATTTTTCCTCACAAACCACGAAAGCGAAATGCATCAATTCTGCTGTTTGCACATTTGCTTCATGTCAGAGCCCCGCGGCCAATGTGACTCCAGCCTCTTTTGGCTGTTTCTCTTCCTGTGACATAGTATGAAATGAATGAGGCTCTAAACATTATAACTCATTCATAAACCATAAAACAACACGGTAATCCGAAACGGCTTATTTTGCTCATTGCTGGGTAGTTTCAGAAACCCAGTAGTGTCACCAGGAACCTCAGAAAATGAGTTGTGATGATCACATGATGGGATTTCAGATGGTCACATGACCATGACCACTAAGCAGTTCCAGGCTTAAGATGGTCTGAAGGATTGATGAGAAGTAGGACGTCCTTGACTGTTTGCATCAATTTATTACACCACAATGGGGTGTATTGTATAAAATCATAAAATTACATGTTTCAAACCATTGATTATATGAAAATGAAGTGGGCAGTGAGTGACTGGGGGTATAGTTACCGTACAGGACCCAGTAGCTTCTGCATTGTGCCCTATGTTCAGGGTTGTGTTTTGGTTGGCCATCTTCTAAGCGACCATATTGGTTCAAGCATTACTTACAATTCAAACATGGAGACTGTTAGAAAAGGGTTCTATCATTTACGCTTAATTCCATTTGTGTAGGTAACACTCTTTAGCCCACACTATTAAGCTGGTCTTCTGCTGTAGTCTCATATGTCTCTGACTATTTGAGTTAAAATATGTGGTCCGCTGATGGTTCGTTGTGTTGTTGTACAGGGGGAGCCGGGGGAAGCGGTAAAGGGTGAAAAGGGGGACGTCGGCCCCCCTGGGCCATTGGTGAGCCTCCGTCTTCAGCCGTCCACATACCACTGCAACTAGGCTGCGCAGCACCAGCGACATGCTGCTCACAATCCGCATGGACTTCTTGATGCCGAGAGTGTCTGCCCTCTTCCCACAGGGACCACTGGGTCCACAAGGCCCGCCTGGTCCGGCCGGATTGCTAGGCCTGCCAGGTGCGAAAGGAGAGAAGGTAACAGCCTTATTTCACCCGCTGAAGCTGCTCGAGGGCTTAGCTTAGCTTAGCTTAGCTTAGCTGGCTCACCACACTCTCACCATTCTGTCTTACAGGGAAAGTCGGGGGAACCCGGATTAGATGTGGGTACCTCTCTTCTCTTCTTCGCTTCGTCTCTCTGAATGGGGGCCACCCTGTGGCTGGCCTGAGACCCCTCCCACTGACACATTCCTGTTCCTGTCTCCTCAGGGCTTCCCGGGGCTTACAGGAGAGAAGGGTGACCGAGGAGAGAAAGGAGAAAAGGTGAGGCAGTGAAACTCGATAAACGTCGGCCTGACGTGTGCGCAATATGGCTTCCAGCCTGCTTTCAATCTTTACTCTGCTCTTTCGAAGGGTGACAGAGGGACAGTAGGCAGAAAAGGTCTGAAGGGACAGAAGGGTGAGCAGGGACCCCCCGGATTGGACCAGCCCTGTCCCGTGGTAAGCGGCTTCGCTAATCTACCACCCACCCCACTGCTGTCACCTCCTCTAATGAGTTATCATACTCGGGTCTGGATGAATGGATGGATGGATGAGTGAGTGAGGTTTATTATTAGCTATGTAAATTGCCTCAGCTTTGAATGCCTGGATGTGTGAGCGTGTTCATACAGATGAGTGTACTTGTGTGCGTGGTTATGTGAGCAAATATGTGTCATGTGTAACAACGGGATGGCTCTCGCTGACAGGGCTGTGATGGGGTTAAAGGTCACCCCACCCCAGATGTCCCCTGTCCCCTGGTATAGTACTTCTGTCTCTTCTCCCCTTCCTGCTGTGACAACCCTGCATGCTCATCTCCCACCTGGGGCTGGAAGTCAAGCTGACATTATTTAAAGAGCTCATAGCTCTGATCAGCCTGAGATAGAGCTTTAGGGATTCACTGTGTCACACAGTGACTAAAACTGATTTATAAATATTTACTGAAGCTTACTCTTTAAGCAAATCCCATTTGATTCAAAGCACTATAAATATTAGTAAACAAGGTTGAAGAGAACACATATTTCCCAGAAACCCCAAGGACTCTGCTAAGATCAGCTCTGTCCTTTAGGGATATAAGGGTGCAAACTGAGCTTCTCAAAGGTTTGACCACAGCCCCCTGAAACCCCCCACTGACTCTATCCATCCCGCTGTCTGTCTCGATCCCTTCCTTTCACACTCTGCTGTTTTCAGTCGTTTTTGCCATTGTTTTCTTCTGTGTTGCATTTTTGAATGATTATACGGAAATCATACTTACACGCGGGCTTGCCTGCCCATGGCTGTGATTATCAGCCCCTAGGCCGGCCCTGTACTCCCCAGTAATGGTGCACGTGTTGAGGCTGCACTCCTGTGTTGGGGATTCTTCTGCTTAAACATGTAGTCAGGTAGTAAAATTATGGGTTTGAACCCCCCATGATCTGTCAGCAAAATGTGGGAACCCCCCCTCCTGCCACCCTGCCTGGTCAGCGAAATCTACCACGGGGGCCTATCAGTAGGGTTACTGGATGCCCCATGAAATGTATTTCTGACATCACTTGTGTTAGAAGGACCGTATAAGAAATCATACCTTTGCCAGACATATTGGTCTTGGACCTCCACTGCATAACCTTAGAGGCAGCTGGTGTTTCATTTGACCTGTCCGTCTGCTATGCGTGTGTTATGTGTTTTATTACATGTTAGACTATGCTTAGTGATATACTGCCCTGTCGCCTGTTATTACTGCATGTGAACTGATAACATTGCTTCATAAAACACCAGAACATGAAGCACCAAAATGTAGCTTCCCCAACGCACACAAAAAGAAAAAAAAGACATGTGTTCTTCATCAGCAGATTGAGAACGTTATTTATTGCAGTGTCCTGCTGTCATTTGCGATTGCTGCATTTTCCGGCAGAGTGCTGCTGGCCTGCATTCACGGCGATTTAGGCGGCTCTGTGCTCCTCTGCTCCTCGATCTCCATCTGTGCACGTGTTGAGTGCCAAAATACCTGCGCTGGGTCCGTTTTTTGCGGATCTGTTCATAACTAACTTTTACCTTCCCTTCAGGGCCCAGACGGACTCCCCATAAAGGAATGTTTGCACAAGGTCAGTATCACGAATAACACAAAAAAATACTATTAAACTTAACTGATAATTAAGCGACTTAAAATGCGCGATTGTCAATACATTTATCTGCATCTAATGATTTAATATATAAACACCTCTATATACATGACAGTTTGGACTGGATTTCTGATTATTTTTGAAAAAATAACCAGTTGAGAAACCACAGACTTGTAATAAACAGTGCACAGTGAATCCCAAAAAGCCAACGCTCTCGAGCTAACGCTAACATTTTCTGTTGTTCTTTTGCAGTGATGACTAACAAGACGCATGCCACCTGTACATATTGATATGGTATATTTTGCAGCTGAATACTTTTACTTTTTTGAAAGAAAACGATTTGTAAGGAAAGGTTTAATATAATATATTACGCTTTTAATGTCGGACATCATGTTGTCTTTTAACAACGAAGGTGTTAACGAAAAACCTACAAGAAATTGTAGGCTAGTAGTAATTAATGTTACCAATTGGACTTTTAAATTGTGTGTAAAGTTCGTATAATGAAGAATGGCTGCCATGAAGATTTAGGAGTAAAACTAATCATGGAAAACCAGTTGACGGACTCCTTATGTAGTCGACATAAGTTGCTGCTACAGTGATATGGACGGGAAGATTGGGTCCTAACACTACAAACGGACTTTCTGCTTTCTTTATGCGAAATGCTGCATGAGACTGATGTCACCCAAAGACGATTCAGAGACTTTTACACCAACGCCCCCCTCCCCCTTCTCTTTGTTTTGGAAGGACAATAATACCTGGCAGAAGCCGAAACTGAAGCCTATCTCTCACCCTTAAATAAGGAGAGAGACGTGTGCTCAGCGGAGCAAAACCGTATCAAAACAGACGTGAAGGTCGAGGTCCGTGATGCTCGCAGTTAAGACCTGCAGTTTCTCCGGTATGGAGTTTGACCAGCAGGGGGCAACAATGGGCTCGCTACAACTCAACACGCTGGAAACCCAGGCAAACCGAACAAACCACAAGGCCATCGAGGCAGAAAGGCAGCCAGAATGTCCCCCATTGGTATAATGAAAGTCTGGAAGTATTTCTTTGTTTGAAGTATATTTGTGATTATTTCTTTTTCGTTTGTTCCATATTCAGTTAATACAACGAATTGTGTTTTGATATGTTCAGAGTTTATGAAATTTGTAAACTATTTCTGGTTTATTTTTCAACACATTACCAGAAACCATTCATTCATTTGTGGTCACAGTGACCCAGTGCACAGCTTTCAATTTTTAATTTTTGATGAGGCAAGAAATACTTACTGTTTTACTAAATGATGTGATAGTTTGTATAGTTCATATTAATGACACTTGGTTGTGATTATTTCTGGATATTACCATTACGGTAGCACTCCTGTGGATGGACATTTTTGTATAATATAAACCAAAATATATATATATATATTTTTTTTTTTTGTTACATCATTAGTGACATATAGTAGACAGATTTGTGTGCAGAACTTTTCATGACAGCGCATGTCTTATTCCTGTGTGTCCGTGCTATTAAACATGAAGATTTTTTGTGTTTTGTTAAAACATTGTGAATGAAAGAGTTTAAAACATCCTATATATATATATTAGTATTGTAACCTGCTCACAGACACTTTCCAGTAGGTCACACAATACACGTGTTCTTTTTCTCTCTGTTTATAAATTTTCTCATAAAACATTTCATTAGACTTGTCATCAACCAGCTTTGCTGGATAATAAATACCCATTGGTTCCCTCAAAAGTAGCTTTATTTTCTGTATTTTTGTTCAGAAGTCTGTGAGTATCAAGCCAAAGGCTGCATACACAGCTGTCTATTGACAGCCATGAATATTGACGTAAGCTATACAGGTTTGATTGTTGGTATTGCGGAAATCATCATTATTATTGTTATAAATCCACAGACATGAAGGGCAGTTCAACATATTTCCATTTATAGTCTTTTGTTGTAATTGTTGATTTTCCTTATAAACTCATGTGTGCAAAGTGATGGCTTTTCCACAGAGATGTCCTGTTTGTTTATGTTCTTTTTTCACTTTTCTGAATTCAGAAAGCCGTTTGTGGTTCAAGGTCTTGCCGATCGCTTCATCTGCTACATTTTATGGAAATCTTAATACCTGGGACCCACGCATCACAGGGCAACACAGCATCCCATGCCGACTCACACACCTAAAAAGCAGCCCCCCCCCCCACACACACACACACACACACACACACACACACGCTTTAACAGCTGAAGGGCGATCCCCATAAGCCAAGGTGTGGTTGTACAGTTTTTAGTAACTTTATATAGCATTTTCCCTAATTTGTATAGAAGGTGAAGACCACTGCACACAACGTTTTGGAATTTCTTTGGTGAATTTTAATTTTCAATTTGGAGTTTTTCTTGATGGGGCACCTTGGTCACGGAGCATTGTGAAGACAAAAGACAGCTGGTTGAGGTCCCTGTCTCTATTTTGCCATTTGACCAGAGATAAGTAATTTTATGAGTGAAATGGTAGCTAGTACAGTGTTTTTATCACTATTCTGCAAAGGTTTTTATTTAACAAAAAGATGTAAAGAGGACTTGTGACTCTGAGTCAACTTTTTGTCTTTTACTCTCTTGCCAAGCCTGGCTTTTTAATTTTTGTTTTGTATACTTCTGAATTCTGTATGCTTCTGAGTAATGTACAGTGTGTTTATTAATGAGGAGACTTTTACGCAGACCTGCATCTTAAAAGAGTTTTGTAAGGAAAACTTGGACAATTTAGCATTTATTTCAGGTCATTTGCGTCATTTGCGCAAGTCACTGGCTGAACACTTTGCCTTACCGTAATAGTAAATCTTTTCGATAAGGCATAAATTCTAGTTAAAAGCTCATCAAGGAATATTTCGTGGTGTTAGTAATTTTACTATCACATGATTGGATTGAGTTTTGATTATTTTATGTTTTGTAGTAAAAGAGTTTTCAGCTATTTTTATAATGTTTCTCATTTTGGTTTGTTTTGAAAATATGTGAAATCTGGTACATACAATTAAAAATAAACATTTCAAATATTCAATAAGTGTTTTTTTATTTGTCTCGGAATATTTTTATTTTTTTGCACTTTGCGAATATTCAACCTCTATCTATTACAGTTTTTTTCAATCGCTAACAAGCGCTTACCCATACTTCAGATACTTTTTCTAAACTCTTAACACAGACTCACACCTACAAAACACAATTGGCCAAATGGATAATTTTCTTCTCAAAAATACATTTTGTTAAATATATACTAACTCTTCATTTCAAAATAGAACACATCTTTCTCTGCACACACTAACTTTACAAAAACACTATAAATCTGACTCAAAATGAAATTATTCTGTCAAAGAATAACACTT